AAGTAGATCAGGTTTGGAAGTGATACACACCGTATGCTTCTGCAGCGATCCTCATGGCCTTGTGCCTGCAATCGTCACAGTGCATATCCACCTTGATAACGATCTTTTGCTGTTGCACAAGCAATTCAACACCACAAAATTAGCCCAGAATAATCGACCGATTCAAAAAGCAAACTGGGATATGATGAAACAACAACCGCATCCCTAGAGAGACTACTCCTACCTTCATATTTGGTCGTCTCAAAAGAAAACCAACAAGAAGATAAGGGGTCTCGCAGCTTTCTGATCTTCCTCAGGGCTTGATGAGTTGATATATATATATAGGGAGTGGGGAGTACTGTATGGTTGCGTAAATGCGTAATTATAGGGAATACCCACAGATCTCTAGACTCTAGTCAATCCAATCATGTCAAATAACTCAAAACCCAGAAACTCCAAACAGCGCTTTTGTATTCACATGTCCAGTTCTAGTGCTTCGACACTCAACTTGCTTCCAAGGTAAATAATAAGCTATGGCATCATACGCTACGCCAAACTCCAGCCATCGACAATGAAGAAAAAAGTTAGCTATCAATTAGAACAGTTGGATCAGTGGGCCACCCTCGATCGATCGGTAAGATAAAAAACAAGTGGAGATGTTAACCATACATCTCTTCTAAATGTGTGAAATACTTCGAAAAAGAATAAGTAGAGAGACATATTTGTATATAATTATATATAGTTGACTTGGTAATGAGTCAATCCAACACGAAAAACGAGGGTTAGGATCCCCTATCTAGTGATCCGAGCTTGAAGATGCATTGACCCGGCCAAACCACGCGTCACGGTCAACTGACCTAGCTATTTTCAAAACAACACTTTTCAAACCGGTGTTGATCCGGACGATTCAACCGTTCAAATCTTTTGAGTTTAATGGTTGAATCCATATTTTGGTAAAAAAATCTTTAACTTGGTCAAAGATCAGTTGACCTAGGTGGCTGATTGAACCATATATCTATTTAATCCATGGGTCAACTCTAACCTAAATATTTAGGACTATGGTCTAGTCTTTACCAATCCAACCCCAAAGGTGGCCCATCCCAAAAAGACCTAAAATGCCCTGACCTGACTCGGATCCAACCCGATTGCCAGCTCTAAACAATAGAGGCCACAAGGACCTAGAAAACAGAAACCATCGCAAACGAGAAATTACAAAGTCTACCACTACCTGCTGCTACAAACAAAAGAAGAACGAACACTAAATAACAGAATTCAATCAGATTTCATTTTATTTAGGTGGTTACGGGGCACAAATTGTTTCGGAGCTCCATATGTAGCCACTGGCGGGTTCCATTTGTTATATTTATGATTTCTCTAAGAAATTGCGTCTTATATTGCACTACATTGGCGGTTCAAGTGTGTCTACAGAAATAACAAAATATGGTTTAACGGATTGGATTGGTAGTTGTAGCCGAATTTGTCACAATTCACAGACTATTGACTATTGTGGTGAATGTAAATGGATTACTTTACCCATTTTACAAAAACCCTACTACTAGACCGCGATACTTTGGCCCATAAAGCCTCACTAGCTAGGCCTGACTTTAGCCTAATTAGATAATACAGCATAAGTTGAGTAGATTATGACCAAACACCAGCCCATTATTAGCTGGATATCTGTGCCCAAAAGGCTAACTTGGTCAATGTTCACTCCCACATACAAATATGTCTCCTGTGCTAATTTGCATTGATTCGGCGGAACAGCCATACTCGGAACAAGTTTGAATCTTTTTCCGGAAAGGGTATTACCCAAGAATGATCCATCACAAAACCACCACCGTATCCACAGTAATCTACAAACATACACATGTATTGGAAATTAACAAATATGTATACCCAAGAATGATTTATTCACCTCCTCTTGTGTTATGTATCTATAGATGGCACATTATTCATCTAAACTACTAAATACAACATAAAAAGAAATGCTGAAAAATACGGACAGGTCTAATGCAGAATTCTGAATTCTTGTACAAATCTATAAATATTCAAAAACTCAAAAACCCATACCCTATGTACCCATATCCAGACATGAATTAACATCAATTTGTAACTGGCACCTATTCCAACTGTACTTTAGACCTATGAATTCTGACCTTGAATTGAACAGTAATTCTCCCAAAGAAATACAAGCACAAACACCACCACCATCACAGTTATAAAATTGAACAGAGAAACACCAGGTGCTGATCTTACATGACGGAGCAGGGACTTGGGCTGTCGTTAACCGCCACTTGGACATAACAATTACAATATCCTCGTGGACATCTATTATAAGGGCAAATTACTTGCGGGGTTAGTGGTTGTGGTTGTGGGCATTGGATTTTACTTACACAAATAATACAACGACATCCCGGTGGACATCCCGGCGGTGGGTATTCCGTTGGAAATCCTGGTGGACATCCCGGTGGATAGATATAACGAACATGTATTGGTGTTTTTTTGTCATCTTTCCCATTCTTCCCGTCTTCGCTTTCTTTCTTCTTTTCCTCTGCCTTTTTCTTAATACAAATAATGCAGTAACATCCCGGTGGACATCCGACAACAATGCATTCCTCTTCGTCTTTCTTTTCGTCTTCTTTCTTTTTATCCTCTTCAATTTTCTCCAAGATTGCATAACCAACTTTCTTCCTCAAGATGTTCGTCAAGCAGGTGGTATCCACGTCCTCTCCGACTACCACCATTTTATCCTTGGAGTCATCAAGCGCCACCGAGGTCACTCCTGTGTATATATAATCAACCACATTCAAATAACTCAAAACCAATCAACAGAGATGGACAGCTTGCTGTTATTTTTTGCTTTCTAAGCAGTTCTCTGCTCGTGAATGAGAGAGCATATATGAACGATTTAGTCATTTTTAATCCATCTACTGTGATATATAATACACAAAACAAGATCAAGTTTCGATGTGATACGCACCACATGCTGCTGCAGCGATCCTCATGGCCTTGTGCCGGCAATCGTCACAGTGCATATCCACCTTGATAGTGATCTTTTGCTGTTGCAGAAGCAAAACAACACAATAAAGTTAGCCCAGAATTAATGAACCAATCAATCATAATGGTTGAGACGAAGTGCTTCCATCTGTTTGCTTATTCTCCCGACACAGCTCTGCAACAAAACAAAAATTCAAAAAGCAAACTGGGATATGATAAAACATCAGACACATCCCTAGAGTTCTCCTACCTTCATATTTGCTCGTCTCAAATGAAAACCAACAAGAAGAGAAGGGGTCTCACAGCTTTCTGATCTTCGAAAGGACGTAATGAGTTGATATATATAGGGAGTTGAGGTGGAGACTGTAATTTTAGGGGATGCCCACATGTACAAATCTCTAGTTAGTCCTAATGAAGGGTAATTTGGCCTGACCTCGTAACAGGGAGACACGTGGACGTGACTCGATATAAGTGACAATTTAGCATGATTAGATCAGCACGTGGACGTGGCTCGACATAAGTGATATGTCAACATGATCAATTCGCTACAAAGCAACCTTGGGTACCCCGTTTCCCCAAATTAGAGTTATTTCGAGCCAAAATCATCCCGAACTAAGATCACCTCAGTACTAGTTCGCGACTAGGATAGCGGTACCAACTCCGCGACAGATCGATCTCGGACAGCTGGGCTCACCTCGGAAAGAGTTCACCTCGGGGCAAGCCTACCTCGGTGCAAGATCGCCACGATATTAAGGCACTTCGGCATTCAGAGCAGGTCGGGTCTGAAGAACACGAGCTCAGGCAGCTCGCCACCAAGCAACCCGACACTTCACAGGCAGCTCGCTACCTAGTCAGGCCGACCTCCGCATGACAACCCCGAGGATCTCACCACTGTACCCCGCATCTTACGGGATCATACCTTGTAACGACTATATTATTTCACCCACTCCTTGATTCTGGCGGAGATGGGCAACCTTACCGGTTGGTGGCATTATCCCCACCTAATATGAAAACAGATCCCATCACAGCGAAGATCTAGAAACTACTCCACCAAACCTACGAGGACTCCGGTATATAAAGACCTCACCCCCCAGGGGCGAAGGTATGCGTAATCTCTGCTCTCTAGCTCTCTAATTCTCTGATGTCATCTTTAAGCTCTCTACTAAGTGCTAACTTAGCCATCGGAGTGACCCCGTCGGGTAAGCCACCCCGGGCTCTCTGATTCATCTCTTGCAGATTCCTCAGTTTCCGTTGTTGCTGGTAGCTAGATCGTCTCCAACAGGGAGCAGCCGAATTGCGCTATATCAAGTCCAATCATGTCAACAACTCAAAACTCAACAAACCAAACCACGTTATAATATTCAGAGTTCCAGTTCTAGTGTTCTGCATTCCACCAACCTAGTTCCAAGGTTTAAGATATTATTATTAGCCAATTACAAACAAGTTTCTGATCGATATTATTAGTTGATAAGCTAGATATCTCAACATGTTGCACCAAACCCAACTATCAAATTAGGACTGATGAATCAATGGACCACTTCCATTGGTAATATATGAAACCAGGTGGAGATGTTAGCCATCCATCTCTTCTAAGTTCTAAATGGGTGAAGGTGAAATAATTGAGAAGATTAGGGCATTGTTTGACAAGTCTTTTCATGTTGTCTTTTGTGTGCTTCCACAAGTATGAAAGATCAAAAATCGGTCTTTTTCTATTTGGTAACCAAAAGCTAGAAAAATGAAAAGTACGGTCATGAAAAAACCTAAAAAGACTGAAAATGCCGAATTTCGGGAAGCTTCAATTGAAGCTTTCTAGTCTTTTTATGTGATAGGTAGCTCCTCAACTCATTTTTAAAAGTCCAATAGACTGAATAACTTAGCAAATGGTCTTTATCTTTAAAGACAAGAACTCAAAAGCTCAATATATCTTTTGGCCATCTAAAATCTAGACTAATGAAGAATTTTTCTTAAAAGAACTTACCAAACGGCACCCTGATAAAAGAGAGACTTCTTATTATCTACATGGACATGAAGAATGACGGTTAGTAGATTCACCAACATTTTGGACCAATGGATGTAAATGGTTTGGAATGTGAAGACTTTGTCCTTTAAATTCAAATTGTCTTTTACTGTCCTACTTTCTCTTACCTCGAAAACTTATAACTCTCATACCTAGGCATGTGTGCAGCTGGAGACGGGTTCTTGTGCTAGTATTTTAAAGAAGTCGTAAGTGTAATTCATACTTTAAAATGCTATTCTCTTTAGGACTGTCCAATTGACTCAAAATCTTTGAGTTGGGTTTCTTTGTTTCTTCGTGTCCTTTAATAGCTATCAGTACCAACTGAGACAATTGGCATCTGCGTTGTCTCTTATGTTATTGTAAAGACCTTGACTTAATTAAACAAATAATCGCTTGACTAATTAATTAAAGATATGATTTATTTCATGTAACTTTACTAAATCATCATTATAAGAGGCAAACCATTGAATAAATTAGACGCCCATGTGGTGGTTAAGTGGGAGAGAGAGATGGCAAAACAACCACGCCAACTCAGTGGAAAGAGACAGATTCCTGAGATGATGAATCTGGTCATTCTGAAGTCAGAAGCTTGGTTCTTGGGATTCCGCGTCTTTGTTAGAATTAATCAATATGAGGTCGAAGATGTGAAAGATATGGTGAGCCTTTGGTGCAATGGTTGGACTCATCCGCTGTGACCTAGATTAAAGTATGGGGTGTTTCGATACACATGAACAGATATATTAGGTGTTTCGATACTTCATAACTTGTTTTAGTGCTTTTTCTTTTTTCTTTTTTTCAAAATTGTTTCAGGAGTCAAATTTTTATCTGAAAGTGGCCAAATTTCAAAATACCCCTTATTTAAGATTTTAACAAACTATCAATATAATGCCATACGTCCTATGCAACATGTATAATATTTAAATTTTGAACCTTACTACCTTGACTGCTTACTCCATCCTTGAAACGTGGACGTAGCAGCCAATCTGAGCTAGCCCAGTTTCTTCGTTTAACTGCGTCCATTATTACCGAAAAAAAAAAAACCAAATTTATCGATGGTCAAGAGAGAGAGAAAGAAGAGTGTAGCAAGATCAAGAAAGTGGGTCCAATTCCTATATATAAAATTGCAGTTTATTATCTCAATGAATATGGTCGAAAGGAAAAAATCAAACGTTAGTATGTTTCAAATGTATCTATGCATGGCATGCAATCCACGTGGGCTTACTTTTGCTCTGCCACGTCAATACCATAATTAATGAGCATACTCTGCATAAAGACCTAGCTATTAAGGTCAAATACAACTGCAAAAGTCAATAAAATTTTAGTAATTCAAAGTATTCATCTCGTCAGTGGTATTAAAATTAATGTTTACGCCAATAATTCCATTGTCTATAAAAGTTAATTAATTATAGATAATGTCAACTAATATCTATACCATTTATGTGGAACGTGGCCTTACATTAATTTTATTAACGAAAATATAAAATTCCATATTAAAAACGGTGCCTTCATCATCTCCCATGTGTCCGGATGCAGTAGTCATGTTAGATAAATATAGTGAGTGAACACGTAAAATTTGTGTGACACGTCTAGTTAATGTGTCTTTCACTCAAATACTTTTATTTTCTTACGTAGAAATTGTCTATTATTTTATTATTTTTTGTTAAAATAATTAAAAATAAAAAATAAAAACATAAATAAATCCTAAATCCTAATACATTTAGGTTTTTTTTTTTATTATTTGTATTTTTTAATTATTTTAACAAAGATAATAAAATAATGGATAATTTTTATTTAACAAAGCAAAAACGTTTGAATGAAAGACACATTAACAAGGATATATATCACCCACTTATTATATGTTCACTCATTATACTTACCTAACATGCCTACTACATCTGGTTAACTTGAATCCAATCCTGAAATTTCATCAATTCAATCCGATCCAAATCCATTTTAAGTTTATTTTTTATGTAAAATAATCATATAAATATGTATTTATATAATTGAGCAAATTTGATGACCTGTTTCTGCTGATGTATACTCCTGATTCTTGAAAAATATAACGTTTTGATATATCGCACAATTGTCATTATATATATATATATATATTTCCATGTGGCAGTTCAACTCAAGACTGATTATCAATCGACTGTCAATATATAGGTATGCATATATGTAGTGCAACTATATGTATCATATATGCATGCCAATAAATCTATATTTTCAGGTATTTTTTTTTTAAATTGATAATTATGTCTTCAATACATAATAATTAATGTTAAAATTTAATTAGCCTTAACCCTTTAGAAAATAACAATACTACAACAGAAAGTCCAGACGTTGGGTCAATCCAAATTCAACCCAAGCCAGCCAACCTGATGAGTTAGGGGTTTCACAGCTCGAGATGGATCAGGATTGGCCATAACCTGACCTAACTCTGCCTAACTTGCAGTCCTAATTGTCTCAACATATTACTTAACTTAAAGTGATCCATAAAAAATATTATTTTAACTTGAAGCGGAATTAATTAAGAAATAAGGCCCAATAATGATTTATAAGTTTTAGGGTAAGTTGTAAGGTGCCAACCGGCAGGTGGGTAAGATGTTCTGTTGGTTGTGGAGATTGGATTCCAATCTCACCTGCACATAGGTTGGGGGATGGGCTATTCCCCGATGGGTAGCCCTGGAATGCAAAAAAAAAAAAAAAAAAAATTAGGGCAAGTTATAAAGACCCACCTTGTACTTCTGAGGTGACAACACTTATGACTTACCCTTCCACCAAAACATAGTTTGTAGCAAACACTCTAAAACTTTAGGATTCTAGTACTTTGTCCATGATTTGTTAATAGCGGTGTTAAAGGTGAATATACAAATTACAATTACCAAGTTGCTCATTATTCACTAAAAGAATATATATATATATATAATACTACTGGAAAATTCATCTATAGAGGTAAAAACTTAAAAAATGCCTCTAAAAAAATAGGAGGCGGCTAAGTAAGTGCCTCTAAAAGACCTGTCGCTAAATGTTTTAGATGCGCTTGATTGAGCATTAGAGGCGGATTATTAAATTGAACTTTTAATGACAAATATGATTGCCTCTATCGTGCTGACGCTAAAAGTTCTATATAGAGGTAGTTAAAAGTGCCTCTGAAAGTTCAGAGTTTACTTAAACCAGCGAATTTACAGGTTTATGAATAAATATAAAAACAATTAATTGTTAACTTAGAGAAAACAAGAACAAGTGAGAGGATATAGACATAGACCTTCCACATTGA